AGAAAAACGGACATTAATTTTGCAACAACCTAATATCTTACACCCCACATGTTTAAGCCAAAACCCGAATGACACTTTCACCTGAGGCTCAGTGGGGAAGAAAATTTATGAGTGAGTCATAATCAAGGAACTATTGGAGATTTAGCACCTTAGTCGTGCAACACAACAACCACATATTCCGTGAAAAGAAGTGTTCCTATCAGTTACAATAAAAGCTATAGTTGCATTTTCTCGCACTATTTCAAGGCGTCTACAATAGATAATAAGTCTAAAAAATAACTGAATTTGGGAAATAAAATTAACTTGAAAATATCAATACTCCAAAGAGGATATAAGAATCAAAAACATTTGAATTTTATTCTCGAGAACCTCAAGGGTTGATGCTTGTTTGCTGCCTCTTTTCCAAGCTTTTTGGAAAACATTTTTGAACATGTTTATTTTCAGGACTTAATGCTTTCGAAGCTTGTCACAGCTTTGAGATAGGTGGACAGATAGACACCTTTGCTTACAAAAGAGGCAAGAAAATAAAATGAACTGATATGAAAATTCCATTAGGGTGTCCCATAATTATTCATCTTTTTTACCTTAAAGGCAGTGGCTCGGCAAATCTCAACCTAGTCAAATTTTTGCTTACCTGGGGTTATCCAATACGCTGATTCCGAAAATCCACTTTTGAGAGCTTGAAAACCGCCGTCCTTCCTATCGAAATTGGACGAGTGCAGCAAGGCTGATGACGGCCGAATCGTTGCAGGACCTATTGGTTATAGTATTGCGGCGGGCAGCCTCCAATGGTGAGAGGGAAATGGCCAACTCGTCCGGATGCGAGTAAAAATGGCCTGCGCGTGTAAGTTTGAGAGCATTTTTCTCGGCAAGGGAGGCATGCTGTGCAACCGGGATTGCAATGTTTTCATACTTGAGCAATAAGGAGTCTACGGCGTTAAAGTCCTGAGTTTTTGGATTTTGCCGATCCATTGCCTTTAAGCATCAGCATTTCTCGAGAACTAAGGCACCTTCAAAATTTTCAAATGCATGATCGTACTTCTGTATATTATATGAGCTATATGATCACGTGTGTGGGAGGAGCTCAGAACTTCTAGGGGCGGGGTTTGCCATTTTAACTCCTTCATTTTTTCCCTTATTTCTAGCCATGGAAAAAATTCGAAAAGTATGCAATAGAATGTGCGATTTGTCAAGCATATGGATTACGTGGATTATGATTTACGCAGACCCTTGAAAGCCATCTTGTAGAGCTTGCTTTGCCCTATCGAATGGTTACTCAAGCCGCATCAGCTGAAGAATAGATACAAAAAGACGACCGTCGGAGTAAAAACGGTAAATAATTATGGGACAACCTAATATATCCGAGTTGTCGATGCTTATAAAAACTAAAAAAGTCTTGCTAAGGGTGCAAAAGCAGCTCAGTGTGATGTGCAGTGATTACTGTGTTTAGTAATTGAACGTTTAATAATCAGTTTGATTACGTTAGTGAAATTACGTTCATAGAATCAAAGAGAATTAGATGCGTTTTTCCAGCCAAAGCGAAATAATATATATATCGGTTAGATCAAACCCTCATATGTTATTGCTAAGAAGTGTTAAGAATGCCAACAGTCCACGTCAATTTTCCGTAATCTCAGCTCAGTGATATATAGTTTTTGGGCCTTTAGCTGCCTGGCTTCAAAAAATCCTTGCTCCGGTGACGCATAAAACATTGAAGGAGCGAGCTGGAGCAAGATATTAGGTGCAAAAGTAATGCGCGTTTTGCGAGTTCTCACTTTTACGTGCTATAACTTACTGAAAAATCCATATTTTTCAGCGCTGCAAATTCCGTCAGAGGCACCAAACCTCTCTCTATACAGCGCACCTTAAATTGTGCTAACATCGCAAAACAGTGAAAAAATATGGATTGATAAGCAAAAAAAATTTTTTTCGGAAACCTCGTTTTTAACTGACCATAACTTCTTTCAAGATTTGTTGGTATAAATGAAAACTTGACTGTCTTGTAGCCGCAAGCCAGTAGTACAAAAAAAAGTTGAAAGGGGCTCAAACAAAGAAGATTTGAGAAAAGGAAAGAATAATATTTGAAATTGTCCGCTTTTTTCGACATTTTTTCGTAGCCCTCAAAATCACAAAATATGGAGATTTTTGATTTTCTGTGTACTGAACAACTTCCACAATTCTGCAAAAACTGTCAACAGGAGGTCCACCCTTACGCTTACAGGAATGAGCAAAACTTTGGCGATTGCCCTCTTCAAAGGAAATCTATGGGCCACAGATTGTTCAAAACCATCACTCATGTTGGGGCACCAAAATCTCAGTCTAAAGAATTTCTGAGAAAACAGCAAAGCATGCATAAAGTAGAAAATTTCTACTACATACGGTAGTTAAATTTTCAAAAAAATGCGATTACTCGCGCTCAAATTCTGGCCAAAAAAGTAAGTGCAGTGAAATTCTGGTTTCGAGTGCGGTTGTATGAAGCTCTATAAATTTTTAACGATTGAGGCTAGAAGCTTCTTTCAACCACCCTTGAATAGAGCATAAAAGAAGCTTCTTTAAAGTATGCTGTGTAAGTTTATAGGAGAAACTTCGATGGAGAAAAGCTGTCTTGAAATAAGGGCTAAAAAAACGCGCATTACTTTTGCACCAACCTAATATTAGATATCTCCACCCCATTTCTAAGAACTGCCGAGTTTTTTCGTTCCACAATCCACATCCATTTGAAAGCTTAGGAAACAGGGATTCGACGTAGGCCGTCGACCCGTCCACTTTTTCCTAGCCCCTTTTGAACAAAAGGTACGCCGCATTTTATCTAGAATTATGTCCATTTTTGAAAGCAGATTTTTGCCCAGCAAAATCTTGCTACCGCTGATTATCTATCTACTATATTACAAAGGTAAGTCAGTTGATATATTGGCCAGATAAAACCGCTCATAGTTCCCGACGCAAAATAACTAGAAAAAAATTGACAATTTTATGCGATTCGTCATGACCTCAACTGAATGTTATGTAAATTTTTAGGGCATTTCACTTTCATGGCTCACTTACCTCCTTCACCCTAGAAGAAGGGAGTAGCCGAGACCCACTTCATCTGGAGAGGGCCTAGCTCCAACTATCGCACTTATGATGCCAAGATCAATGGATCAAACTAAGAGCATTCATTTTATAATGAGCAAGATTGTACACCTGCTTCTTAGTTCAACTCAACGAACTAATGTGAAAGATATGGGGATTTTCGGTCCGTAGGGCTGGAGACATCCATGGACTCAGGGTACTTGTAATGAACGCGTTTTGTTTGGAGAGGTTTCTATGTCTGGTGGCAGCGGGAAATATCCAATGAAGACTTTACTTTGTTGTTCCTGAGAGGTATCAGGAAAGGTCGCAGTGGTACATGTGGATCATCACTTTCTACTGTTCGAATTGAAACGAACACAAACTGCGCGATCTCATCCAAGACAAGCTTCATTGCTTTGAAACATTCAAAAACAAAAAAGCTTTGGACCGTATCAACCATCGGCATAGCTATCAACCATCGTAATTGCTCTCTTTGCGCTCGATATTTGCGCATATTGATGTTTCGGTTGCCTTGCATCTATTACGAGATCAGAATTCCTAAAGATACTAAACTCCAACTTCTATGCCTTCTTCCAAAGTTTCCAGCAGGGCAAAGGGAAACTAAAATTCGAATGGAAAATTCCCCTCTAAAAATCTGAAAAAATTCTGTTCAGGATTCCGCATCCATTAGCAGCGAAAAATGATTCTACAGAGGTTTATGTACCTTAATGCAGACTCCATCGTGCACTTAAGATAATTGTTTGAGAATAGAATTTCAAATATCCTTTCACTTCTACGATTCTCAAATAGTTTAATATAGCTAACTGCCCTTTTTCGCGATCATGTTTGCGTTAAGTTTTTGTAAGTACGTAGCTCACATGTTGAAAGAATTGGCATCAAGCAAAGACTGACGATGGCTCAATTATGAACAGTCATGGACGTAGAATTTGCTCTTCATTACCTCAGTTTATGACACACACTACGGAAACGCTCAGTGAGATTGGACGAAACGAAAAGTTATGATGTCACACGGAGTGAAGACGGTGAAACGATGATTAGATTAACCCAAAACATGCACTTCAACAAAGCGAAAGCTTTTGAAAAAAAAGCATGTCAATTTGATAAAAATCAACGTGTAAAAGTGTTTAACCAAGGACGATAGAGGTTGCCTACGCGCATGCTTTTGTATTGCAGGTACATGAGTAAAATTCGCACACGACAACATGACTCAAAAAGAAATGCTGTTTTGAAGAACAGAAATTTTAGTTATATTATTTGATTTAGTATGGAGACAAAGATCTCGGGAGGTTTGGGAGTGTGAGTGGGCTACTGTTCTACCTTGTAAGTAGATTTTTTACTCTCACTCTCGACTATTGTATTTATTAGTTCAAGAATAGAAAGAATGATTTCTTCCACTCAGTGAAGCATAATGTTTGGTGATTTGCTTAAGCTGAAACCCGTTCAGTTGATTGTTCTTAATCCAAACGAGATGTTCGGACGGACTAGCATCATCAATGAATTTCACATCTTTATATTTCACTTCTTCGCTTAACGCACATGTGCTTGGTGTTCCTTCTCATATCGTGAGTACAAAAAAACCTAAGGCATTGTGAAGAAACCACTTCTAACATGAGCGCCAATGCTTCTTTACACAATGGCCTTAAGCATCATCAGCATAAATACCTGCACCAGATGGAAGAAAACATGTCTCGGGCTTGCATGTCCAATTGGTTTGCAATGCAAGCTCTTTAGTCAAATCCATCGTCTGAAACCATTACAGCTGAAACATTCCACTTTTTCTCCATCCATAAAACGAAGTGTGAAGTTGCTCATTTTAGTTTACCGAGTCACCAATTTGATTCTTTCCGTTTAAATTCGGTCTTGAAAATGTTTCCAATTTATCGCAATTCGCGCCCCTCTGTTTTACTTTTGAACCTTCATTTTCTAGTATGCCAACAGCACTATTGCTTTTGCTTTTGATAGTGGGTGTTGCGAGCTATGCTGAAGAAGATAACGCCAGTCCACCTAGGTAAATTGTCTTTATCCCTAAAATGATTACTTCATTATTAATATCGCTATACCGTAAGCAAAATATGCCATTAACTTATAAAAGACTCAAGTTGCAGTTTAATTCGTGCAAAACGTCAATGGGGTTTTGGACTATACAATCCATATTGGGGATATGGATATTATCGTCCGTGGGGATTCGGCTATCGCCCATGGAACTACTTCTACCGTCCATGGTGGAGCTATGGCTATGGACCATGGAAACAATGAAGCACATAAACGACAAACTATTTCTTCTTTACAACTGATGCTATGCAGTGAAATGTGAACCGAACTATTTGTCCATAAAGATTTCCTAACTACTCTAAGCACAAAGAGGTTATTGATAAGCCGCTGCTTCTTCGGTTCCACCAACTCAGATAATCGCCTGGGGCAGGTGGTCCGCAAACTCGCGCTTTTCTGCAGGTGGTCAACAGAATTTTGGGGCGTAACCTAACCTTCAGCGGGCGGCACTTCCTTTACAGTCGCATGTTCTGCCAGCAGGCAGCAATACATACTTTTTGCAAGCACTCGGCACGTAATTCCTCTCACCGAGCGCTGGCCGAACTTTCAACAAGCGCTCGGACTCGGACTTTTGGCACAGTTTCGGGCGTACGCCTAGAAAAGGTGAGACTCTATGGGGGCACTGGGCCGTAACTTATCCGTAGAAAGACCCCGATAGTTCTCCGAGGTTCGTCTAAAAATGGAACAAAATTATTCCAAATTTCTGCAAGCAAACTGCAAAAAATCAGCGAACTATTTTTCCGGTGCTCGCTTGCTCAAAATTCGCATGGCCGCCTGCCCCCAGCGATTATCTGAGAAGGAGTAAAGAGCTTTGTATTTGGTTTCGATTTCAATACTAGAAGACTTGTTGAGATATCCCGGAATGTTTCTGAAGATAAAGAGTCAAGAATTACAGCGAAAATTTTTATACGCATTGTGCAGTAGTGTGATCTTTATTTCGTAGAGATCAGTGGCCTACAACCATAGTTAAGCGTTTTACTATTTCTTGCTATACATCCATTCAAAAATGGAAAAGCACGATATGAACAATGATGGCAATATCAGTGCGACCAGTGGCTTTTCTGTAAAGTTGTTTTACTTCTCCATACTTACTGCTACTGCCATTCCAGAGTCAAGAATCAGCGGTGTCGGGTGTAATCAATGTAGTCAATGCTTCTGAGCTGAAAGCAAGTTTTACGCTTGTTCCTCACGTTGTACGGTACTCTCTCATCCTGACTAGTTGTTTCCATGCTCTTACAGAGATCATACTCGGTCAAAGTGGCCAAATTCATGAAGTGCATATGGGTAGGTAGCTAAGACACCGATCTCAAATTATCTCCACTAACTGCAGAGCTTTTCTTTGAAACGAGTATAACCCTTTTCCTCCGCTAAAATCGGCCTCTGTCATGACAGGGAGCTGGAAGGTCTTGCATGTGTGCTTTGCGGTGTAGTGGTGAGTGAGCACCTTAGTCTTGAGTCTGCCATTTTATGGCTTTTCTGGAACGCAGGTTTGAGGAAACTGCAAAAACTTTCAGACGATAGAGTCGTTCCTTGCCTGTTGCATATGAAATCAAGTCGCTCACATCAAATTGAAGCACTTTGAGAAAGGGAAATATCCCCCCACTGGCAAGTACAGATGATGAAAGAATGCTTTAATCAGCATCAGAGATTAGATTATAGCTGAAAAAGAATCATGTAATTTTGGCTTCATAGAAACTGTTGTGAGTAAACCAAAAACGCTCATTATTTTAGCCTCTGTTCAAATCATGCCGGCTTTCTAATACTTAATTTTTTTCAACTTTCGACAATGAAACATCGTAAGAGACAACACATTCAGCAACCTGAAGTACTGGCAGGTCGAAGTGCTTTGAAATTGTCGCCCTTTTTTTCGGAATTTTTGGAGCGTATTTGAAAAGCCCTGCGGGTTCAAACAACTGACCGGAAATTTCGCAAAGCGTTTGAAAACTTTTGCCGAGTCACCTGCGGAAGCTCCCTATACATCGTAAGAAACAATACATTGCTCTACTGACTGTGAGGCTCATTCACTATCCTCTGCGCTGCGGATGCCATCTTCGACAATGCACTCTAGTTGTTGGCGAGACAAATCGTAAGAGACAACACATTCAAAAACCTGCGTAAGTACCAGCAGGTCAAAGTGCAGCTGAACCGCTGCCATTTTCGAAACTCCCTAACGTTTCGCATAAAGTGCTCGGAAGTTCTCGTTTTCAAGCAGTCTAACGTGAAGATCCTGTGGAAGTTCCCTTTTTCAACGTTTCTGTTTTTGTAATGATAAACAAAAACCTGCGGGACGGCTGCAAATTTTGCTTGTCCTGAGAAACCGAAAAATGCGAACTGTCTAAGACAAAGTACAGTTCCAATGAACGTTTTTGTAAATCTCGAGACTGTTCGGGTAAATCTCAATAACTGTTGACGCAACTTGAAGGAGCATTGAGGCAGGCGCAGCATAGGGATGGAAATCCGTGTCAAGAGTGTATATGCGCCACAAATTTGGTTTGTAAAAACACCACAAACATAACTCCACATTTTATTTGTAGCTGCACCTTTCGCATCAAAATTTTTCGTAAAACAGTTGACATATGTGATAGCTCTTGCTTTATATTGTTTAGTCTCCACCGAGATTGCCATAACTTTTATTTTGCCTAACGCTTCGCCCAACTCTTCGTCGGAGCCTGCAGGAAAGAGCAAATAAGATTTGTCCTCTCTAATGTTTTCAACAAGTGCAAGAAACAGAGACAAAGTTGATTAGACAACGGAAGCGATGCTAATTAGGATTAACACCCCAGACTTTGCCGTGTGCAAATCACGGACCACCACTGAGAACGCATGAATAATTAGTGAGCTAGACCTGGGTTGCTGACATTGTAGATCAAACCCGCGTAACTCCAGGAAAGGCGCTATTTCATCAGCTATAACAACGCAATCGTCTTTCCTGTTCATTCGAAGTCCTAGGCGAACTCTAACAGGCTTCTAACGTCATGTGCTTCGCGTCCTCTGCTTCTGTAGCAGAAATGTCGCCGAAATATTGAATTTCTTACCATTAGGCAGCAGCATCCGATGAGTGATCAATGGTGTAGGTAGTTTCAAGTTGCGCATTCCATCCATAAGCTTCTTACCGGCCTTCCGGTTTTTCCGATGTACTCATGGTCGCACGATTCAGATCTTATGAGGCGGACAACGCCTGACCACATACAGTCTTCCAGCCTGTTCGTTGCAGATTATGCAGTCTGGTGCTGAGTAAGCCCTATCGCATGCTTTATCGCGTCCCAATCGCTGTTTCATTGAGGGCGGCAACTTTACAATTGCAATGACTCCTGCAGGCCCCTGATGTGTACGCACTTGCTATCGCATTACTCAACGCATCCGTTAGGCTTTTCTTACAGCCTACCGCTGTGACGCACCCTAGCACCCACGGTGCAGCAGCATCCGATGAGTGATCAATGGTGTAGGTAGTTTCAAGTTGCGCATTCCATCCATAAGCTTCTTACCGGCCTTCCGGTTTTTCCGATGTACTCATGGTCGCACGATTCAGATCTTATGAGGCGGACAACGCCTGACCACATACAGTCTTCCAGCCTGTTCGTTGCAGATTATGCAGTCTGGTGTTGAGTAAGCCCTATCGCATGCTTTATCGCGTCCCAATCGCTGTTTCATTGAGGGCGGCAACTTTACAATTGCAATGACTCCTGCAGGCCCCTGATGTGTACGCACTTGCTATCGCATTACTCAACGCATCCGTTAGGCTTTTCTTACAGCCTACCGCTGTGACGCACCCTAGCACCCACGGTATATGAATACCCGTTAGCTTGCACGATTTGGAGAGCTTTTTGAATTGATGCGGCTTTGCGTGTCGTCGGGTAACACTGTTCAAGCCATACGTAAAATGTACTTCGATAATGCTAAGTTTGATTTGCAAATGCGATATTTTATTTTTCTCATTCCATTCAGATCTATTCAGAACTATAATCTATATGTGCGGAGTTCAAAAAAATCCAAACATAACAGAGAGAAAACTGCATTACTTTCAAAGAAGCCTACAGGCAGAACTTTCATGCTCGAAAAAAACGTTTCAGAATTACAAGATATCACCTTCTTCTGCTACAGAACGTAAGAACTACTACCAGTTAGAAATCAGTGCACTTTTGATTGACCATTTGGTTTCAATAGATTATTTTTCAGTGTGCAGGATTCTGCAACCTCAAATACATAACATGCTTAAGGCTAGTACATGACGAAGGCGCGCCGAAGCGATATCAGTTGAGCGGTCGCGAACGCGACGCGCGCGTATTTCCACCGTTGTAAATTCTGCGCCTCTTGCGCTCTGCGGCTGATAAAGCCGCGTTCGCGATCAAAGGTATTGCGCCTTCGTCATGCAGCAGCCTATATGTATGTCATGCAATACATTGCTGTTAGCCAGACATCAAAGATAAGTTAACCGTTTCTCACACTTTCTAACGTAGAAGGGATACTTGATGACCATGGCCTTTTTAATATTTGACATATGTCGTGACATTCGACTTGAAATGCTGGCCCCAAAACTGTGTTTGTTATTTTCGGAACAAAACTTCAGAAAAATCGTGTCTTCTCGCATCTGACGTGCTTGCACAAGAGTACGAATAATGTCGAATGATGCTAAAGGTGTCGAATGGTCTAGCGATTAGCGCTGTAAATTACTGCATGTTTGATCCCTACAAGTCCAAATATTTGCTTTCGTTTTCTCAAACACTATCTCATCTCAGAAAAGCGTACCCCAGATAACGAACATAGACTCGAGATCAGCGTTTCAAGGCGAGCGATTTGCTGCAATTACAGCAATTCAAAAAGCCCACGGTCGCCAATCAACCTTCCCTATTGAGAAGAATGAAAGCTCCGTGACTCTAACTTCACCATTGTTGGACTCAATAGAGGTGCATATAAGCACTCCAGCACGATGGCTATGCTTGAAAAGCGAAAAGGAAAGAGCGAAGACGAGAAACAATGAGTTTTCCTGCGACTGTGATACACAAAGTTTGCCAGAAGGCGCTTTGCATGCGCCAGCTCGCTCTGCTGGCGTATCTGTCTTTCCTGGGGGTTCCTAAATAGGCATGAGTCCAATCACCATCTTAGCTTCGTATATTCCTAGCGTTAGCGCACACGCCTAAACGGGCAGTGATCTGTGAAGAAACTCGCTTTGTATGAGGAGTTGATAAACATCGCCCATGGTCTTGCACTCTTCTGTGCTCAAGCATAGTTGGAGATTAAGAAGAATGTCTCAGCAAATTTTTATTTTCCAGTTTTTTTCTCGAAGTTCTCGCTCCATATCTGGTTTTTCAGCGCCTAAAATTTCACAAATTTTCACTGGCTGCAGACCTGGAAAGTTTCGATAAAGGCTCATTTTCGCCAATTTCATGGGCTGAGAAGCCCAGAAATTGATTCCTTATGGCGAGAAGGCCACGATTAGGTGAAAAACTGGACAGCGAAACCGGTACACTGCCTTTAAGGGAAGTAATCATTTCTTCAGGGCAGCAAGGATATCGCAATGCCTTTAACTGAAATTTGAACATGGAAAATTATGAGGTATCTATTACAAACTACCAAGTGCACTCAAAGAGGAGCGCTACTTTTCGGACAAAAGGTTTTCGATATAAGGATCCAAAAAGGTCTGTTCTGCTTGGATTAAGGACTATAAACATCTTGTATGAAGGCTCCCATGATAAGTAAACACATTATATGTATGTACAAAAAATAATTCTCGTTTGGCTGAAAAATCTGTATCGCTGCATCTGTTTTTCGGTTTCGCAGCAAAGCAATCATCCCATAAAAGTGAATGTATCGTATTGCAATCATATAGAGCACTCGAAAAATGTGATGATGCGCGCGAGACGCACGCACTTTCGGCAACAGCATCTTGGTTTTCACCTCCACTTGAATGGTTTTTCGGCTGATGTATGATAGATCTAGACACTGTAAGTGAGTGAGCTGAGCGTCAAGATGAGTTTTTTCGTATCAGTGATTATGCGCCTCTGGGCGCAAAGACCGCAGTCAAATCCGTCGTCACGATTTCAGAAATAAGCCATACTTTTCTTTGCTTTTTAGCTACAAAGCAAAAAAATCGGATCCGTCATTACAAAAGCATCACAACCGCCGCATCGCAAAGTTTAACGGGAGAGAGTTGAGATTTGCGGCTCGAAATCGTAATACCTTTTGAAAAAATTTGAGACTTGGTTGATCAAAGCAAAGAGTACACAGGATAAGCGTCAAACAGCACATCTATTTATAGAAGCTTATAATAACTCGAAATTTTGGTGCAAGTTGGTTAGAGTTAATCCTGAAGCCGAAAAATTATGTGACAAAACGCTGATTCCGAAAGCTTAGCTCTACGACAAAAGCAACGATCCTCTATTTGAAAACTGGGTGTCAGCAGATATCTCTGTCTTTGATACTGACACAAAAACTTTTGATATAAAAGCAGCACAGGTATAGGTGCTGCATGGCGAAGGCGCAATATCTCTAGGCGCGAACGCGGCTTTATTAGCCGCAGAGCGCATGAGCCGCAAGATTCACAACGGTGAGGATACGCGCGCGTCGCGTTCGCGCCTGCTCAGCCAACACCGCTTTTGCGCCTTCGTCATGCAGCAGCCTCATGGGAAGCTGGCCGGGACATGCACTATATAAAGTAAGTTTCAACCCAGTACAGGCGAAGTACTGTCCTCAATCTCTGGTGGCAAAGCGCGTGCGCTAGCAAGCTACAAGAGATGCGGATGGCTACTTCACCTAAAATTTTTCGCCCAATCCGTTGAAACAGACTCTATAATGCTAAGCGTCGAGTTTGGCACGTTATTGTAACCCATCCAAGCTACGCGGGAGCATTTACGTGACAGCATGAAATGATCGATGTCATTAGAAAAACATGTTGTGGTCACGAAAGGCCGCGCCTTCCATAGTACAACCAAGTGAAAGCTGTTACTCAGCATCGGCCAAAAAGTAGGAGAAAATAAGCACGTTAACAAAGTGGCCCTACGATCAGGTTTCTATTGCGAAGAGCTTTGGAAGAAACGAAGTAGTCCTCAATAAGTGTGGTGTTATTCATCAACAAACCTTAAGGTAAAATATACTTTGAGAGCGCGTACTTGTACTCAGATATATGCTCAATCGATTTCTCCATACCAAGTATATGTAAAACACCTAAGCCATTAATCCGTATTTATAACATACTTCAGGGCAAAACTCCTGAAGTTATGCAAATGCGTTGTGTCAAGGTACAAGTGCAAAAATTCTATCCTAGCATGGCGCAAAGTGAAATGCTCTAAGAATCTGTACCTTGAGCCAGTACAGCGTTACCTCAGTGAATTCTGGCTTAGCGTACGCTTGTGAGCACATGTTAATGATTCAGGATATGTTTTACATACTTTGAGATACAAGCAATTGATTGGGCTTACTTTAAGAATACGGGCATGCGCTTCCAAATATATTGTAACCTAAACGCGGCGTCCTGACAAAATGGCCGGGATTATACAGCACTGCAGCGGTAGACCCACCAGCTAGTCTGTCAGTGAATTCCGGAGCGAAAAAGCGCTTCTGGAACCCAAAATCCGCTCCGGAAGTATTCCAGAATCCGCCTTGTTTCAGACTTCACCTGAAACTGCAGTGAACGCGGACACAAATAGCTTCGAGAAAAGCTCTTTTTTGCCATTTTCAAGTACTGAAAAGCTCAGACACGGCTTCAGCATGGCAATAAGGCTGCGAAGAGGTTCCGGAGAGCGAAATTTGCCGGGACACTACCTTCGAAGTATGTTGATGATTACGGCTACTTCTCATTGAAAGCTCTCCCATTTCACTTAAGTGATTAAGTGATAAGTGATATCTTAATTAAGTGATATCTCAATCCTGGAATTATTTGATAGTAAGTAACTCCTGACTAACAAGGGAACGATACTTCTTTTATAGAAACGACTAGCAGAGATGTGAGATTCGTAATCAGCGTTTCAAGATGAGTGTGATGATATACGTTTCATCTCAAAAGACCACGGATACCAAGCATCGTTTCCTTGTAAGCTCACTCTAATGCCCGATGAGCTGAGCTATACATCAAAATGGTTTCTTTGCTTTAGTGCACATTCGAATCGTACTCGCATGAAGCTCACCATGCATCTGTTTATGAGATTTTAACAACATTTGCTTGTGGGTAAAATTAACTAAGGTTTATAACCACCACTTCGTAGAAGTAGCTGAGTTGAGATAAGGGTGTCACAAAATAGCGAAATGTGGGATGTCCCAAAATAATGTAACGTTTATTCTCTGATGACTTTCTTGTATGGGAAGCAGAGAACCAATTGTTAGTATCAAGTAAGTAAAGACATGAAGAAACAGCTGACTGTTTGCAATCACACTTTTCGATACTTTGTCTATTTGCTTCAAATGACATTCAAGATGTTATTACTCGTTCAATGATTTTGGATGCAAGACAATTTGGTTCAAGTGGTGATTCAAAGTTCTCGATCAAAATGCTGCATATGATGAGCGAATCTTCTCGGTTATTTCTAACCCAAAAAAGCAAGTTTCTCATTTGCATCAAATCATTTTCAATACATCTTCGTTGTCCAGATGATTTCCTTCGAGATGCACATACATTAAGACTCGTACGTTTCCCTCCCTTTTATAGAAGCATTGCCTACGACACACATATGTTCTGAAGATTTAGACGGAAGAGACTGAAAAGAAAAGGCACCTTAGGAAACCACAGTGACGCATGACTCGAAAAAAAGAGAGTGAAGGACGGGAAAGATCTGCACCACATTCCGTCACTGTTCGATGCTAAGGGGAAAAACTCAGTAGATGATTCAATTACGGACAATGCCCATTACAGTAAAGCTGGTACCATGTTCTCCTGCATCAACGGCCAGTGACAAAGTACAGCGCACATGATCAGGACCAAGTGCTTTTAGAGTTGCTTTTTCATCGCTTCAAATGTCCGAAAACTTCCTCTGCAAGTGCCATAATTACGAACAGGAAAATTACTCGGTTCCGAAGAAGACGTGCGATTTTAAAAAAACTCACATTAGACGACGTCGTACATTATCAATCAACTATAAAAGTGAGCTCTGTTCACCACACACCAGTCCACCTATAGCATTCCCTGCACTAACCTGATTGATTCTCGAGTAGAGTGAATTACGATTTTTTTCTTGGCATGCTCAGGAACTGCATGGTTTTGTTTCAGAAATGCTCATGAAAGTGATTGCATTCCTGCTTGCTCTTTTGCTCGCTGTGACGGCTCTACCTCCAGAAGCAGCGTAAGTCGCCGTCAAAATGGTTTTCCATTTTTCAGTAAAAAAAGAACTTTTTTCTAATCTTTGGTAATGTCCACTGATCTTGAACAAATATTTTATCAAGGGTACTATGCCGTTTCAATAGTTCGATATTTCATAGCCGCCTTAATGAAGTGAACCTACCAACCTATAATGCACTTCTAGAACTACGCTCCCTACTACCGGTAAGGTCTTCTATTGTGTAACTGGGATCGTCCAATTTCAGAAATCGTGAAAAACGACAAATGTGGGGCAGCGGAATGTGGGGGAACGGCATGATGGGCGGTATGATGGGAAACAGACCCCCACCACCACCACCACGCGGTAACATGATGGGCGGAGGATGGGGAATGAACAGCGGATGGAGAGGAGGCTGGTGATGAAAAAAAAACATCTTGTGTTCCGCAGAATCGAAATAATAAATGTATTTTAGTAGCATTGCACAAACATACGAGTTTATCACATTATTCGATTTTTCACAATTGTCCAGGGATAGACAATCTAAAAAAGACTTTGAAAGGCGCTCGAAAGGACCATTAGCTCGAATATGTGGCTGGCGCAATCGCGCTGCACCATTGCGCCTGGAAAGAAAGCAGAATCTATAGCTAGCTAGAGTTTCTAGTTGAAATCGCATCATCGCGGTCTTCCTTTGGACAGTAGCAGATAAGGAACAATCACAAGAAGCATTGAAGAGTAGTACAATAGTCTAGTATTTGGAATTTGCCCATTTCAGAGGAAACAAGGTTCCTCACCCACTACACCCATTACTGATTACAATTATCACATAAAAGGTGAACTTCTTGAATGTTTCAAAAAGATACGGTTGTTGTCAATGCGTATCGGTTTTTTCTACCGTGTGCATTCCAGCCTCAACAAGACGCGAACTGGTGAGGCGCCACATCACTTCGAGCTCGCGCCACGTTGTTTTTCTGCTACACCACGCCAAACGATGGGTCGGCTACATGGCGCAAACCCCAAGCGATGCGGCGCCTCACCAATCCACGTCATATTGAGGCTGAAATGCATACGGTAGAAAAAACCAATACGCATTGACAACGACTGTAACGAATTAGGTCTCTAATGAATAGTCAACTTCATTTTGATAAGCATTGCGAAATCGTTGCAACTAAGGAAATTTCGACAGTTTAAAATCTGTTCAGAGCCTCTTCCATGTTGACATTTTCATGCCTGCATATAGAACTTATACTAGATCTTTAATGCAATAATGACGGTTCTCCAATCCAACGGAACGAGAGCTTGCAAGTACTAACAATAAGAACTAACAGATTTACAAAGAGGCTGCTTATTAGAACTATAGATCTCAAATATAAACTCTCACCCAACGGAAAGGAGCGAAATAAGGCCTTAAGACTGGTCAGCCTACCCAAGAGAAGAGAGAAGTTTCATCTTATTATGGATCATAAGATATTATTTGGGGACTGCCAACTCAATCTTGCCGACTTTTCAAAAGACTAGAAATTCTATTACTAGAAAGACCTCAAAAAAAAAAGAATACCAAGGACAGAGAGGAGTGCGAGGAGAAGATTCTTTACAAAAAGGACCAGCGGCCATGTAAATAAACTTATGAAAAAGGGTATGCTTCCCATCAAAAAATCTCATAGTTGTCAGTTTTGTTCCCATGTCAGTCCAAAACGGTCCACTATCTGCTTTTGCCATAATTTCTTTATTCAAATGTAATAAATAATACTTTACGAGATTGCCTTACTATAAAGCTGTGTGATCCAAGTTAAGCAAAACGTTTTCTTGTATTAGAGTGTACCAGAGGTTCTGTCCGATTATAGTTGGACGCAGCTATTCGTTTTACATGTAATCAACACCATTTTGATTTTTTCTTGCTCGTTTTGATACTTTAAGGCTCAATGTCTGTCTGTCTGCATGTATATATATATATATATATATATATATATATATATATATATATATATATATATATAAAGTCGACTGCACGAAATCGCCCATACCGCTGTAGGCTGAAGGCGCGCAAGGTGCATGCAACGCGGCTGCCGAGTACCGACGGTGTAATGACTCATGCGCGCGAACGCCAACGTTAATCCGCGAAAGACACCGCGTGGGGGTTCAGAATACGGCGATTCGGACAATTCCATGCAGTCAACTTTATATATGTATGTATGTTCGAGGTTTCCCACAAAAAATTCATTTCTGAAGGGTCCGAACCAAACTTCCCAAACACAAACTTCGGAGCGAAACGGGTGTCATAAGCCACTTTTCATTACCGATTCTACTGACTTCGCAAAGTTTCTATGGATGGGAGTTGGCACAGAGGGTACGCTTGCATGCTGATTACGAACACAAAGTTAGCTTGTAGAATTATCGATTACCCTATTTTCCGGCGTAAGCCGCAATTATTTTCGTCGCGCGGGCTGATGCCAGATGATGGTCGCGATGTGCGGAGCCGCGCAAGCAGCCAACTACCACCTATTTTAACTAGTAGCCTGATTGTAACTTTTTGCTTTCGCTCTTTCTTGTGGAAGCATTGAAAGCACCATTGAAACATCAACGTCATCATCAACAATCATTAAAATCGAATAAAATAGCAGCAGCTTTAACCTCAGTAACATCTTTAAAGGCAGTGTCCGAGCAAAAACTCGATTTTGAGATTTTGTGCTTACTTGGGCCTATTCGCTAAGCTGAATCCGAAAATGCATATTGTAGAGCGCGAAAATGGCGAAAAGCGGCTCTAACACAGGAGGGAATTGAGCAGGTGGGCGGAGTCCTCCCCACTGCGAATTCACGTTCTCGGCTTCCGGAGCGACCTTCTCGCTTCCGGTTTCAAGTCAATTATTTGCACTTGGCCGGTAGCGATGTTAGAACGGCTAGCGGAATCGAGAAAATCGCTCCGGGAGCTGGGAGCGTGAAATCGCACTGGAGAGAGCCCCGCCCACCTGCTGATTTCCCTCCTATATTAGAGCCCTTTTTCGCCGTTTTCGCGCTTTCCAATGTGGATTTTCGGATTCAGCATGGCGATTAGGCCCGTATAAGCATAAAATCTCAAGTTTGAGTTTTTGCCCGGACACTGCCTTCAAAAACAAAAGAAAAAACGGTCAACTCCATTGTATCCTTGAGGAAAAAACACAACCCAAACACCCCAAAATCGTCCGAATCTCTGGAAAGAATAAAGAAATATCTGAAAACGTGAACATGCGCAATGAAAAGCAGTCGCAAAATGCAGCGAGTTTTCAGTTTGTTAAATCAAAACTTTCTTTACGAAGGTTCTTTCGCGTCATTGTTCGCTGCGGCGGGTGTGGCTTATATAAGGTGCGGCTTATAAACCGGAAAATAGGGTTCAATCGGTTTTATCGATTTTTTGCAAGGTTTGAGCTACGGGGCTAGGAGTTGGCACAGGGGATATGCGAGCATGCTGGTTACAAAAACATAGTGAAGCAACAAGCTAGTGAACCGGGATAGGGAGGTGAAATCGATGACGGTAATGACCGAAGCGGGCGATCGGGAATGGTAGCTAGTTTTAAATTTTACATAAATCTGGGCGCCTAAACCCAAAGTCTACTAGAATCAGGATGACTGTTTCAAAAACTCTTTTTGACACCGGGTTCTTATTGTAAATGAAAAAAACATAGCAGTTTACATGATTCATAAAAACTGCTCGAAATGTCCATTTTTGCCTCTCACAATGCCTTCATTCGGGTTAACACTGAAGTGACGGCACGCAGAAGGTACTCCAAATCTGTTCAAACTCATGACTCTGCGAAAACCAGTCATACCGCTAATCCTCTTGTTTTTTAACACGTTCGGACCGCGAAATCGCGCGCGACGAAAAAAGAGTGGACTTTCAGCCGTTAGCCAACAAAGGGATCTTATTTGCTAGACTGTATGCTACATCTGTAATCAGCACGCAGATAGGCTCCATATCCAATTCTGAGTGAATTCGAAGTGTTCAAATTTTGCGGTTTGAGAAGGACTTCTGTGCTTTCTTGAAGTAACTTCTCTTCTAAGTAACCCCAAACAGCAAGGTCAAGTGGTATGGGATGGACTGATGGGGAGGGGGGGGGGGGGGGAGGGAAGGCATTAGTCTACCGTCAGATATCCTGTCACCTTGGCGTCTCAAAAGGCAGTGGTGGTCTTGACTGCTTGCGCAGCAGACCACTCCTGCTAAAACGCCCCTTTTGTGTTTTTTCGCATCCATAGAACCACTTTTGCCAGCATCTCTCCCTAATAGACTTTTTACTTGACATTCCGGTTGATAAAAATCAGAGGCGTCTAGCGGCGCTTATCTCTGCCCAAACCATCACTCTCTTCGAAGAAACGTCGCAACAACTTTGCCTTTCCTAGTGTTCTTCAGACTTGGGCTGAACAGTTTGTGTATTTTGGTTGTTGGGAGCTGTTTCACTAGTGACAGCTTGGCGTCACCTGACGAATTACACTCGCAGTAATCGATAATTGGGAAAACTCAAAGAGTATTTGACGCTACTTTGAAGTGTTTGACGAGAAATAGACAGGCTTCTAGCAGTAGACTTCAAACTGACTTGGTCGTTTCGGGTTTCTTTTCTTTATAAGCTCGCAAGAGTGTTGACGAGAAAGAACGACCTAACGGATTCCTTACGTCGACATCTCCTATTAACTTCCACTGCTTGATCGCACCGTTCAAAGTGGGACTTTCAATCGAGGCGAGATCACCGAAGCTTTCGGCCCTTGACAGGCAAGCGACTGATACACTGTGACTACAGGTTCTATGAGCGCATAAAGACAAATGCAAATGATTTTTGCATCATGAGAGAGCTAAGGAGTGTCACTTATACGACCAAGTCAAGAAAGGCAGAATCTATTCAGTTCAGACGGAAAAACGCCACAAAACACGCTAATACTGCTAATGCTTTTTAGCCACCCTGTAGTAAATTCGATTTTAAAACCCCTCTTCTCTTTGTTAGGACAGAAATAGCAATGACGCCGGTTCCGTTGAAGAAGAAAGCGCGCTCCAACTGAATGACCCACGCGAATGGCGCGATCAAGCGAGATGGGGTAGGGGAACGAACTCCGCCAGCTTGAGCAAGCTTTCCAAGCCACCGGTCCTTTTGCTGTATTGTTGCATGTCTTTGCAGCACCAGTAGTCCGCGCAGGCGGTTGTAACTGACGGAGCTCTAGTTTGTATTGTTGTTGTATGTATGTATTAGGTCGTTCCATAAGTTCGTAGCGTTTTCATTTTCGTCGTCGTTTTCTGGTGAAGCAGTTTGTTTACGTCAAATTATCTGGTATTAATCGAAACAGCCAAGTTTTCTCTACAAAACCTGCTTATTGTTTTTGAAGCAATCCTGATGGTCTTTGGTTCATAATTTCTCAAAGCAAAGTTTTTGAGTGGCAGAAAATGGCCATTTCGGCACTTGTGCTTCTCGCATTTCGTTCATATCCCACAAATATTTCTCTGTATCT